TGCCCTTTGCTCCTAGTAGCGTCCCAACCTGATGAATAAGAACATCTTTCTTTTGTAATCAAGACCGGTTCGGCCTTACCTGCTTGGGATAGAGATGGCACAGGATGTATCCACCACACCGGACCAGTGTGCGATGTACCAATGCTTTGGTTCGGGATAATCACATAGTCCTTCCACCTGATTCAACGGTAACGCTAGATGGAATAAGTAAAGAGAGGAGAAGACACTCTTCACAAGACTAGGTGATAGGCCCACTCTAGTTTCTCAGCTTTACTGCAATGTCTCTTCGATTTCTACTCAGTGCTGAAGTCGAACTTGGCCATGTCCAGAGTATCAACTCATTGATGGAACGCGACACACACACACACAACTTTTCGTGCTCCAAGCTGCAGGAAATGCTGGCTTGAGCCAGAACCCTGGTGAAAAAGGATATGTTTTTTAGTGTTGCCAAAGTGCATTTTTTTTCGAGCTTCCATTTTTTCTTGAAGTGGCGCAGGAAGCCTCTTCGTATATTGCACAACAGCGACACTGCACTTGTGTGGTCACTCGTGTAGAGATTCCTGGTCACTCGTGTGTCACCGTTAGAAGTGCCAAAGGCATTGTAGGAGCGGAGGAGCTCGCACGGATTCCAAAAAGCTTTGCAATATAGGAGGGATGCCGTCGCTATTAAGTTGGAGGCCATCGCTTCTAGGTTGGAGGCCATCGCTATTACAATACGAGAACATCAACAGCATCGAGCTGTATTTTAGGGTGGCATGAGCTGTGTCAGTTTGGATCAGTTTGGATTTCAGAGATGGTCATGAAATCATAGCTTCGGGGAAAACGACAATGTTGCTTCCTACTCCGATAAGCTGATAGCTTGTCAACGCTACTAGGTTGGAGGCCATCGCTTCTAGGTTGGAAGCCATTGCTATTAGGTCCTACTCCAAAAAGCTTGTTTGTCCAGTCGGTTGGTTGTGCTGTACATCGGCAAATGTGGCTTGAGGCAAATTATGCGGATGTTTGTGAGAACGAACACTGAGTAAAGCCTTTGACCAAAACCGTTTTCACATATAAAGCATCGCTAAAGCATCGCTAAAGCGTGTTTTTGGATGTGAAGAACATTTCACAGAACTGCAAAGCTGAAGGCCCCGATCGCCAAGACCTAGAATTTGCGATATGTCAAGACCGTTGAAGATCCACACCATCGTCACCCCAGCAACTCCAAACTGCAGCCAAGCGAATTGACATAATTGACATCTCAGTGGCCATGCCAGCGTCGGGCAGCAAAAAGGAGAAGAAAGATAAGAAGGATGAGGTGCATGTTTCAAGCGGACCAGCATTGTGAACCCCTGTTCTTCCTTCCTTGGTGAACAGAACGACGTATATTTTTCGCTGTTCCTCTTTTCTGCGTTCGCTTTTTCCTGCATTGTCCAGCCACAACAGCCAGGGCGAGAAGGAGAACGCCGCTTGGATCAAGTGATTTTCTGAAGGAAGGGTTCACACAATCCTTGAAATCCCAAGCAGCAGAAGCAATGGTTGTCGTGTCTCATACGAGGTGGGACCCCTGAAAAAAAGAGATGATGCTTTCAAGAAGGATGTTTCGGTCGGCAGCACACCGGTGCACAGTGCTGGAAACCAGTTCTGGGTGAAGTCCGATGTTGAACCTGTGGGTCCTACTGGGCCCGGCTCACCTTCTCCAAGAAGGGGGCATGGACCATGTGAGGAGCATGTGAGGATCATGTGTGACACATGCAATGTTTGTTGGCACAGACGTTCAGGTGAAGGAGGAAGAAGACATTGAGAGCTATAAGCCGCTTGGTCTTTACAACAAGCCCCCGTTTCCACTACCAACATGTGCAAAGGACGCAACCATTTCTTCACATGCCTTGCTGCTTGTCCCGCCTGCAAAAACAGCATACCTCGCTTCCTGCGTATTTATGTGTTTTGGTGGCAGTGGCTGTGGGGCGGCTCTCGTCATATGTTTGACATTTCTACCTCTTGTAAACATCAATGAAGATCTGATGCAGATGTGTGATGTGAAAGCTGTGAGCATGCAGAAAACGGATAGCGTGTTGTTCATGAAAAAAGAAAAACATAGTTAACCTGGTTCCACATGCTTCTGAGAAAATGCAAAGCAAATTGAGCCCATTGAGCCGAGGAAGAGGAAGATTGCCGACCTGGAAAATCTTGGTCGAAGCGGCGGTGCACCTTGGACCAAATAGCACGAATTGCTGAACACTTCAGTGGATGGCTTGGATCTGGGTGGAGCTCAAGAGAAAAGGAAAACCGCAAGAAGGAAACAAGGTCTAAAGACAGAGTCTAAAGCAAAAATGAAAAAGAAAAGAACAAGATTAATAGACTTAGATGTCCAAAGAAAGAAAAACGACAAGAAAGGTCTTAGGAAATGGTGCCCCAGATAAAGTGGCTTTGTGACAACCTTGCCGTGGCTTAGGTATATGTTCCTCCCTTCAAGCTGCTGGCCTTAATTAAACCTTTACGACCTCACTGACAAGCCTTGAAATGGGTTTATGTTGGAAATTGAACACGGTTTTTTGTGCTATTTTTCACGTGTTCTCTTGCATGTTTTGTTTTGCCTTTGTCATTCCTCCTTTCTTCAATTGTTGGTGGAAGCTCGAAGCTACTCGTAAGGCTGGCACGCATGCAGAAGGAGATAGAAGATAAGACCAGCGCAGAATACCAACGACAAACATGGGAGGCCCTTTGTTCGACCTTGTCCAGTGAAATATGCAATCAAGAAGTGAGTCAACAGTGTCAATAATTAGGAGGCCATTGCTATTTGAGTCAACACTTAAACTCAACACGTCGCCAGGCCCTCAGAAAAAGTATCAACGGCCTGGTGAACAAGGTGAACGTCCCTTGGCGTCGCAAGTCTCACGAGTCGAAGCGCGCAAGCTCGGTGGACGGACTCGCTGGACGTGCGCTAGTAGCATCCTTTGCTCCGTTCGTAGCGATGCCAGGAGACCCCAGGAGCGTCCTTGCTACTAGTAGCGATGCCAGGAGCCCCTAGTAGCTTCTTGTTCCTATGTGATTTCGATCTGAGGTGGGGAACATTAAGAACATTGTGGAGGAGAGAAAGAGCAAGAATATCACATTCAACGCGAAAGCAACCGGAAGATGTCAAGACGATCAAGACGATCAAGACGTCAAATGAGGTTTTAGGAAGAGCTCGAAGAGCTTGCCAGGAGCTTTTCCAAGAGAACCTAGTGCGTGGTCGCGGTCTCTTAGTGCGTCAGGATCCCCAGATTTGCCGGACCTTTTGAGTTAGATCGATTTCAAGCCTTGCACAGCTTTGGCAAAATGGCAAAGCATTGCATCGGAAAAGCCAGAAGAGCTAGATAAGTGATACGATCTCTTTTTGGCATCTGAACTGCCTTTGTTCTGGCACAATAGAGGTGCGCTCATTCGCGCGCAGATGGCTTCGCCCGGCTTCACCCATGTCACTTGGAGATGTGTCAGTGTTGTAGCTTTAGGCTAGAATTTGCACCGAAACTCGTCCAAGCTTTTCTTTGGTTTGGTTTCTGTTTTGATATAAAGCTCATCCACACTCATCTTGTTTGTCATCTTTTTTGGGATCAGAGTCGGTCAAGACTACAAAACAAAGAGTGTACGCGGCACAGCATCATGAAAGAAAAAGAAAAAGAAGAAAGGTGTAAAGAAACGGAAGAATGAAACAAATGTACTAAGGACAACAGAGTGTACTACAGTAGACCTACCGTAGTGACCTCCTAAGGTCTTTGCTGCCCTTTTGGCCGTGATCAACTCAAAGCTGCCCGGGTCCCACAAAGGCGCCGTGGCGTCTGGCTCCACACGCTTCAGCCCCTAGTAGCGTCCTTTGCTCCTAGTAGTAAGGCACTTGTTTCTACTAGCGTCCTTGTTACTACTAGTAAGGCACTTGTTACTAGTAGCGATGCACTTGTTTCTACTAGCGTCCTTTGCTCCTAGTAGTAAGGCACTTGTTACTACTAGCGTGGCACTTGTTTCTACTAGCGTCCTTGTTACTACTAGTAAGGCACTTGTTACTACTAGGGTGGCACTTGTTTCTAATAGCTTCTTGTTACTACTAGTAAGGCACTTGTTTCTAATAGCTTCTTGTTACTACTAGTAAGGCACTTGT